CCTCTAAGTCCTCTAAGCCCTCTAAGCCCTCTAAGCCCTCTAAGCCCTCTAAGCCCTCTAAGCCCTCTAAGCCCCCTAAGCCCTCTAAGCCCTCTAAGCCCTCTAAGCCCTCTAAGCCCTCTAAGCCCTCTAAGCCCTCTAAGCCCTCTAAGCCCTCTAAGCCCTCTAAGCCCTCTAAGCCCTCTAAGCCCTCTAAGCCCTCTAAGCCCTCTAAGCCCTCTAAGCCCTCTAAGCCCCCTAAGCCCTCTAAGCCCTCTAAGCCCTCTAAGCCCTCTAAGCCCTCTAAGCCCTCTAAGCCCTCTAAGCCCTCTAAGCCCTCTAAGCCCTCTAAGCCCTAAACCCTAAGCCCTGAGCCCTCTAAACCCTAAACACTAAACCCTAAACCCTAAACTTACAAACCTAATCCCTAATTTTCTCGAGTACTGGTGTCGTTCAAGCGAGAAAGGACTGTTGCATTGGGCTTTTCGCTGAGGACAAGATCCCTAAACCCGAAACCCTAAACAATCAAAAAACCGTCGGTCATCTGAACAAGCTATTGGCAGGTGCAAGGCTGGACACCCTTTTGCTGTTGCCAAGGCCCTTCGGGAGTGGAATCCCTGGTTTAGGGTTTCTATGCAATCCTGGGCCTTGTCGCCCGACACTTGCGCGTGGCTTGTCGGCGCGGCCACAGACCCGCCTGGTGAGTACATTTCTCTTGGCAATGACATGGTGACAGACGGGCGTGAAGGATTTAGCGTGAAGGATTTACTCCAAACCCTAAACCCTAAACCCTAAACCCTAAACCCTAAACCCTAAACCCTAAACCCTAAACCCTAAACCCTAAACCCTAAACCCTAAACCCTAAACCCTAAACCCTAAACCCTAAACCCTGGTTAAGCCCATTCTTGCCCCTTCCTCCGCCGACCCACGGGCGCCTTGCTCTTGCGCCGTGCTGCTGCTGCTGCACGCAAAGGCATGCGTGGCAGCATTCTCGCCGGTGGCATCATTACACAAAGTTTCCAACTCCCGAGCTCGGATGGTTCCCCAGTCCGCTTGCCCCTAAGCCCTAAGCCCTAAACCCTAAGCCCGAAGCCCTAAACCTAAGCCCTAAACCCTAAACCCTAAACCCTAAACCCTAAACCCCAAACACGAAATCCTAAACCTTAAACGAAACCCTAAACCCTAGACCCTGAACCCTGAACCCTGAACCCTAAACCCTAAACCCTAAACCCCAAACACGAACCCTACACCCGAAAACCTAAACCCTAAACCCTATAAACCTATAAACCCTAAACCCTAAACCCTGGGGGTTAAGGACTCAAGGTCGAAGGGATTCAGGGCCCGGCACAAAAGGCCTGAACCTAAGATTTCGGGTTTACAGTGTAGGGTTTAGGGTTTAGGGCTTAGGGTTTAGGGCTCAGGGCGAGTTAGGTGTCGACGCCCATCTTCAAAGGGCTAAAGAGGCTTCTTGAAGTAGAGAGACTTCTTGAAGAGAACGGTCGTGCTTCTACCCAAAGCCCTAAGCCCTGGACCCTAAACTCTAAACCCTAAACCAGATAAGGGTTCCTTTGGTCCCAGTAGTCCTCCAAGGACTACAAGAACGCTGGCGTCCTGGGCGTGCCGAACGGCAGCACCATGGCTCCTGGCGAAGGCACAAAGAGGTTCCAGGGTTTAGGGTTTAGGGCTTGAGCGGCAGCCAAGCTCTAGGCAGAGTTTCAGATCCTACTGTACATGCGAGGTGCAAGACTGGGGCTTAGCTCCTGAACCCGAATCGCTCCTCACCCCAAGCCCTTCTCAACTTATAAGTCCTGATCCCTAAAAATCCTTGACGCCCTACTGCCGGAAAGCGACCCAACCGCCGAACATCCAAAAGCTGCCCGAAGAAACTTCGCACTAAACCCAAAGCTGTCCTACCCGTAGGACCCCTAAGCCCTAAGCCCTAAGCCCTAAGCCCTAAACCCTAAGCCCTAAACCCTAAACCCTAAACCCTAAACCCTAAACCCTAAACAGCCCTAACTTCTTTCCGAACCCCCTGCTCAAACTGGGCCGCAGCTCCGAGAGCCCTTCTGAATCCAAAACCTGCTTCCGGATTCGGCGGTTTAGGGTTTAGGGCTGAGGGTTTAGGGTTTAGGGTTTGGGGTTTTGGGTTTTGAATTTTCGGGCGTCCAGGGCAGAAAGGTCTGTACCTCAAGAGAGAGCATGAACACGGCCGCAGATCCTTCAACCCCCGTACGGGCCAAAACGCAATTCTGAAACCCTTAAAGCCCTGAGCCCTAGCCCCAAAAAAACCCTAAACCCTACACCCTAAACCCTAAACCCTAAACCCGAAACCCTAAACCCTACAAGCCACTAGGCCGCAACCGAAAGCTGAACTCTGAGCTGGCGAACGGACGACTGGCCATGATGGCGCCTTGGGCCCGTGTTGTAGGTTATTTTTTTGGTTTATGGGGTTTAAATAGGGATTTGTTGTTTTTGTGTTTCTGGGGCTAGCCCGGTTTAGTGTTTCTGGAGTTTAGTTTTTTTTTTTTTTTTTTTTTTTTTTTTTTTTTTTTGGGGTTTTGCGGGTTTAGGGCTTTCGGGTGTTGGGTTTCTGGGGTTTCGTGGGTTTTAGGGTCCATGGGGTTTCGGAGGTTTACGGGTGTATGGGGCTTGTGGGGTTCATAGTGCTTCCGAGGTTTATGGGGTGCATGTGGGGCTTCGCGTGTTTGTGGGTGCATGTGGGGTTTGTGGAGTTCATGTGGCTTCAGGGGCTTGAGGCTTTATGGGGTTTGGGATTTCGGGTTGTGGGGTTGAGGGTTCATGCGGTTGAGCATGCTTTGGGTTTAGCTTGTACTTATTAGGGTTTAGGGTTTAGGGTTTAGGGTTTAGGGCTTAGGGTTATGTGTTGGGGTGGGGTGGGGGATGGAGTTCCGCGACCATTGGGTTGAGGGTGTAGGGTTTCGGGGCGCTCGAGTTTCTGCAAAAGTGAGGCCCCCTAGCAGGAAGCCCTTAGCCCCTCACACTTACTTGTGTGCAGTTGGATCACTCCTGAACATTTTCCACGAAGCAACCTCCCCAGACTCTAAACCCTAAACCGGACCTGGGACCCCATATACCTGCAACTTTGGGGGTTATGCCTGCTGAATGGGGGGTACTTACTACTCATCTGTAGGTAAATAGGGTCCCAGGTAAGCCCTAAGCCTTGAACCCCGAACTCCAACTTTGTATGAAACCCTAAACCCTAAACCCTAAACCCTAAACCCTAAACCCTAAACCGTAAACCCTAAACCCTAAACCCTAAACCCTAAACCCTAAACCCTAAACCCTAAACCCTAAACCCTAAACCCTAAACCCTAAACCCTAAACCCTGTCCATAATCGCATCTGGTTTTGCACACCCGACACCGAACCCTAAGTCCCGTAGGATGCCGTAACCTTAAGCCCCAACCCTAAACCCTAAACCCTAAACCCTAAACCCTAAACCCTAAACCCTAAACCCTAAACCCTAAACCCTAAACCCTAAACCCTAAACCCTAAACCCTAAACCCTAAACCCTAAACCCTAAACACTAAACCCTAACAAACCCAAACCTAAACCCTAAACCCTAAACCCTAACCCTAAACCCTAAAACCCTAAACCCTAACCCTAAGCCCTAAGCCCTAAGCCCTAGCCCTAAGCCCTAAACCCTAAACCCTAAGCCCTAAGCCCTAAACCCTAAACCCTAAGCCCTAAACCCTAAACCCTAAACCCTAAGCCCTAAGCCCTAAACCCTAAACCCTAAACCCTAACCCCTAAACCCTAAGCCCTAAACCCTAAACCCGAAACCCTAAACCCTAAACCCATCATGCAACTCTGGAAGCCCACTTTTTGGGGCCCAGCTCGCCAACACCGAAGTCTCATCCCCATCAGTTCTCTTCTGAGGCCATCATTGGCATGTTCTTTCAGGCGGGTGTTCGGAGGGTTTAGGGTTTAGGGTTTAGGGTTTAGGGTTTAGGGTTTAGGGTTTAGGGTTTAGGGTTTAGGGTTTAGGGTTTGAGGCTTTCGGGTGTAGGGTTTGGTGTGAATCCTGTTTTGTGCAGGTCCTTCAGGTGTTCCAGGGGTTGTTGGCCTTTGCGTTTACTGGTTGGGCATAGGGGTTTTCAGGTTTTCGTCTTCCGGGTTAGGTAATTGGGTGTGAATTTGGTGTGGGGCATTTGGTGGGTTCTCACCGGTTTAAGGGCAGAGTTTTAGGTTTGAGTTTCAGTTGTTCAGGGGCTTAGGTGGTTAGGTTTTGGGAGCATTTCTGGTGGTTGAGGGGTTTTAAGGGCTTCGGGTCTTAGGGGCTTACGAGATAGGGTGTAGGGTTTTGATGGGGTTTCAGTGCTTCGGTGCTTAGGGGCTTGCAGCGTTTGCAATAGAATGTAAGTTGCCGAAATGCGCCCGGTGGTGGCGAGGCACAGGCTTTGGTATCAGTGCAAGCTCCTATCCGCTGCTCGAAAAGTCAGCCGTGTTTCGTCTGCTGCTTTTTTTGTGGCTTCGTTTGTGTTCGAAGTTTGCTTGTAGATCTCAAGGCTAGCTCACACACACCAAATCTTGTCTCCAGTAAGTGAATCCTCTCCGAAGTAAAGGAGGTCGCGCAAAAGCAACATGTCTTAGGGGTACTTTGAAATAAGCTTAACATTTTGGGTACTATAGTTCCTAAGAAACAGCATAAAAATTAATTCTTGCTAGGGTTCCAAGTTCAGTACGGATTTATTATATTACTCGTGCGGCCGGTGGTCCTGTGGCTTCCATGCTAGTTTGTTGTTGGAAGTTCGTTTTTTTGGAAGTTGTTGTGATAGCATCCTCTCGTAAGTAAAGGAGGTTGCGCAAGAAACACGTGGAGAAATCTTACTGCGACCTATGGTTTCCATGGTTGTTTCGCTGTTCACGGAGTTTGCTTTGGAAGTTGTTTTGATGCTGTTTTGATATTTCTTCCAAACTTACAGTTACACTGACGTTTACAACTTTTCAGTGTAAATCACGCGATTCTTGTGTTTTTATTCGTTTTCGTGTTTTTGGGTCATGTGCAGTGGAAGGGGCAAACTCACGAATTCGTTTTGTCTTTCAACCCTCTACGTCCAGGGCGGACCTTCTCATAAACTTCGTCATCTCATCCTTTCTCATGGTAAAAACAACGGGGACATGCTGGCTTCGTCTGAGATGAAGGACGTGGAGCCTTACAACGGCGTCCCCATCGTGTACGCTGAAGAAATTCTCCTGATCCACAGGGGCAGGGGCGCTTTTCTTCTACCCCTCCACTTGTACAAGCTTTGGATTGATCAAGGTTGCCGATGGGCGTCACCCAGCCCGCGCGTTTTGGCCATCGTATTCGGCTCACGCACCCGGACAAGGCCCTTCCTCACCTCGGAAGCAGTCCACAGCACGTTGTCAACGGCTGCTGGCAAACAAGGGGCTTGTGGCTGAATTCTTGCAGGGATGGCAAGAGATCAGGCGCAACTTCGCCCGCCCAGCCTTCGTGCCATTGCCCAATTTGCCTTGCTTTTTAGCGCAAACTGCGGAAGTGCCGATTTTGCTTCGGCTCCGAGACATCCAAGGGCCACTCTGTCCCAGAAGGAAGCAAAGCTGCTGTGTGCGGCCTCGCGAAAACAAGCTCCTACTTCTTTCGTCATCATCCAGAGTTGCGGCCATTGTATCTTGCTAAGGTAGCACGCGGGGAAAGTGAAATTGCTGCAAGACGTGAAGTCTTGGGAGATGAGGAGAAGAAGAAAAAATTGGCCAAGCATTCAGGAAGTATTTTTCTGGCACGGCCTCGATCTCGACCTGACAACACGCAGCAGATTAACGTTTCTTCAAAGCGAGTTTCTTGAGAGAATGCTGCAGATCTGGAGCCAAAGCGTGCGAAGCGTGATTTGTCCCCATGTCTGTTTGCATTTCCTCAGTGCACTGGGCGACAAGTTGTGGCTGCGCGGTACCGGGGAGTACCTTCCATGTCTGGTCGGTCGGAGGGGACAACCACCAGCACACACAAGCATCCTCTACTGGAAGACAGACCAGCAGACGTGCTACCGGGCTTCTCTACAGGTCTACATTCCGGAGGACGCTCAATTCCTCGTGCTGGCTTTACGACGCGCAGAGTGTCAGAGCACGCCGGAGAACAGCACTTGCATGGTGCTGCGCAAGCCATGCACGTCACAAGGCCGCATACAATTCCGACTGGCAGACGGTGAGCGAGTACCTGTTCCGACCCCTCAGAAACTGCTGGTGAGGAGTGGTTCCGCCCACACTTTTCAATTCGATTGGAGCAGGAATTTCCTCGACTTCAGCGTGGATGGTGTAAGTGTCGGGATCGTTCCTCTGACAAACCAGCAGAGCATCGACTCCTGGGTAAGGACTGCAGCAATGTGTGTGGCATCTCCTGATCGTATGGACGCCTTCGCGGTCACTGCGTTGCCTTTCCAGTACAATGTCGCCTTCGGATATCCTGCGTGTGCTTACTGTGCGATGGACAGTATTGGCTGCTGCAGAGACTGTGAGCACTGGTTCTGCCAGGATCATGGAGCTTTAGGCACGGACATTTGCTTGGGCTGCGTGCCGAAGCTTTCTTGGAGGAGGCCGAATTTCAGAAATGCAAAGCCAAGTTCGACGAAGAACAGGAGCCGCTGGAGTTTGATCGAATTCCGGCGGTAGAGACGCAACGAGCCCTCGAGAGTGCACGCAGAAAACTCAAAGCTGCCCACCCGAATGTACATGTGCCAGACATGATCGGGCCGAGCGGTAGTCTTGGCAGCACCGCTTCACGAGCAGCCATAAGTGCAACCAGGCTCAAAAAGAAGAGGGCGGACCTCAAAAAGCGAGAAGGGGAAGCCGAGGCGCAACGGGTCTCCCTTGCTGGTTTGGTCCGGAAACGACGGCCCCTTATACTTCTCCCTTCCTGGTGAGAATCCTAATTTTTTGAAGAACCTTGTGTGGCTTTCGTGTGCGAGTTGCTTGAGTGAAATGCTTCAGGATGTCAAGGGTTTGGGGTTTGGGGGTGTGCAGAGCCCAACAAGATGCTAGAGCCCCTCGGCGCTTCAGCGCCGGCCTGTCACTCCAAATCCGACAAACACAGACAAACACACGCCCGAACCCTATACTTAAAAAGGTACCCCAAACTTTGGGCCCCAAACCCTAAGCCGAAGCCCTCCCGAAGCCCCAAACCCTAAGCCCTCAACCCTAAACCCGGCACCTGCAGCTCTGATCAGGATGGCCTCACGGGCAGCGCATGGGGCGATTGGGCGGCCTACACCGAGTCTGGGGCGTCAATTGTTGCCTTGTGGAGGGACTTGGGCGTAGAGGATTCCAAACACACAAGCCTCAACCCTAACCCATCATGTTTCTTCGCCACACATCCCAACTCTTCCGCTTTGCCCTTTCGACCCAAAAATTAGAAACTTTTCAGTCCAGGCCTAAACCGCCCGCTGCAAAGTCGTGGTAATAATCGCAACAAAGCCATGAAGCATCTTCGTAAAAGAAGAATCGTCCCTCTCACTTCCACCAACCTTGCCTCAAGAAGCCCAAGGCCCCTAAACCCTAAACCCTAAACCCTAAACCCTAAACCCTAAACCCTAAACCCTAAACCCTAAACCCTAAACCCTAAACCCTAAACCCTAAACCCAAAACCCTAAACCCTAAACCCTAACCCCTAAACCTAAACCCTAAACCCTAAACCCTAAACCCTAAACCCTAAACCCTAAACCCTAAACCCTAAACCCTAAACCCTAAACCCTAAACCCTAAACCCTAAACCCTAAACCCTAAACCCTAAACCCTAAACCCTAAACCCTAAACCCATAAACCCTAAACCCTAAACCCTAAACCCTAAACCCTAAACCCTAAACCCTAAACCCTAAACCCTAAACCCTAAACCCTAAACCCTAAACCCTAAACCCTAAACCCTAAACCCTAAACCCTAAACCCTAAACCCTAAACCCGAAACCCGAAACCCTAAACCCTAAACCCTAAACCCTAAACCCTAACCCCTAAACCCTAAACCCCAAGGACTCCCCACTTCGCGCCTTTGAGAACGAGCTGGGCGTGCAGGTGCTGGGCCACTTAGGGTTTAGGGTTCAGGGGTTCAGGGTTTAGGGTTCAGGGTTCAGGGTTCAGGGTTTAGGGTTTAGGGTTTAGGGTTTAGGGTTCAGGGTTTAGGGTTTAGGGTTTAGGGTGTAGGGTTTAGGGTTTAGGGAGCGAAAGTCAGGGTAACCTCATTATTGCTGGAACGCCCGGATCAAAACGAAATATGGGGGGCACAGTTTTGAAACGGTCATTCGGCTTGATCACATATAGATGATCAGGGGCTGAGCCCTTGTTTTTGGGAGCCCGATACCCCGTATGGGACTTAAGCTACGAACAAAAGCCCTTCGAGGAATTAAGGGGAACGGTGCTGTCAGCGGACCCCCATTCCCAAAATCGTCAGCCCAATCCCTCAACCCTAGACCTTGACCCCTCGACCCTCATGCGCAGTTGGAGAAGGTTTAGGGTTCCGGTTTAGGCTTCAGGGCTTCGGGTTTAGGGCTTATTAGGGTTTAGGGCTCAGGGCTTAGGTTTAGGGTTTAGAGCGAGGTTTCTCTGACAGCCGCCAGCTGCGCAAAAGGAACCCTGCACCTGTCACTATCCGGCAGCAACTTTGCATACAGGCCCTCGCGATATTTTATGTTTTCTCCCTTATTGGGTTTAAGAGGGTTATATTTTCGATATATTCACAGGGGTTTTGAGGGCCATCCAAGTCAACTAGGGTGTCCTTACTTATAGGAGGCTGTTATGGGGTGTTAGAATTTAATGCTTGTGTGTTTAGGGATTTCTGCCTTTTCCCATCGACTCCTTATGAATTCTTTAGAACACTACTGCGGATTCGGCCGCAGGCCCCAGTGGGCTACTGGGACCCAATGGGCATGGCCAAGGATGGTGACGAGAAGACGCTCCTTGGCCCCTGAACCCTAGACTACTCAAGTCCTAAACCCTAAACCCTAAACCGCCTAAACCTTAATTAAGCCTTAAGCCCTAGGCTCTAAACCCTGAACCCTTCGTTTCGACGGTCTAGACTTCGTAAGGCTCAGCTGATTTGCCCTGACCTTGAACTCCAGAAGTTCCTTGCATTTGGTGGTGCGCTGGGGTTTCAGGTTTTGCTTGCTGCTAGCTCTGAAGCCGTTCAGGGTTAGGGTGGCGGTTGGGCGCCTGTCTTTGGGCGCTTATGGCTTTGAAAGGTCCCTAAACCCTAAACCCAAAACCCAAAACCCAAAACCCAAAACCCAAAACCCAAAACCCAAAACCCTAAACCCTAAACCCAATTTAGGAGCCTCCGGCTCAGCCCGCTGACCCAAGAGGCCCGAAACCTCTCAACCCTCAAACCAGGTTCGGGGGTTTGAGGCCGTGTCGTGGGAATGGGGGGGTAGAGGCCTCGAACTGTCGGAGTGGTTGGCGTAAGGTTGCAACATGGGCAACCACCCCGTGAAACCTCAACCTAACCCTAAACTCCACACCCTATACCCAGAACCCTAATCCCTGGCACGATGTGCCGTGGTCCCTAACCTAAACTGTAAGCCCCAAACCCCTGAAATTAAACCCAAAACCCTAAATTTCGCCAGGGAGTGTGGGGGGTGGGGGGGGGGCGAAGGGGGTGGGGGGGAAAGTTAGATAAGTCCCCCGAACGCGAGACACGAGTCTGTTTAGGGTTTTAGGGTTTCAGGGTTTCAGGGTTTTAGGGTTTTAGGGTTTTAGGGTCTTAGGGTCTTAGGGTTTTAGGGTTTTAGGGTCGGGGTTTAGGGTTTCATAGGGCTTAGGGATGTGTATAGGGTTTCGGGCGTCTTCCCGCGCGGCGTCGCAGATCTCTCGCTCGCAAGGGGTATGGCTCGTGTTGCGCGCGCGTCTGTGAAAACAAGGAATACTAGGATGCCCAGTAGTACCCTTATTCCCTTTTTGGGGGAGTTCAGGTTCCCTTATAAACCCCTTTAAGCAAAAAAGGGCACACTTTTCAAGCCTTGGTTACTGGGCAGCCTAGAATAGCCCTCCGCTGCGCAATGCTTAGGCCCTGCAGGGGCAGCCGTTGTTTATCTTGAGGGGTTTGGAACCTCTTCCTTGAAGGGATTGCCAGGAGGGAGCGATCGATTTCTCGCAAGGTTCCTCCGTCGCCGGGAGAGCGAAATCAAGTGGGGCACTGAGAGAGCCGATTGTGATTGTTTGTGGGCCGGGCTTAGGAGTTCTTTGGGTTGGGCTGCTTTGGGGTTCATGGGTTAGTGTTGGGTATACGTCTTTTAGGGTTGAGGGTTAAGGCTTTTGGGGGCGTGGGGCTTCGTGTTGTAGGCCTTGAAATTTGGGGTTCTAGGGTTCTGTGACTTAGAGACACCAGACCACGGAACACTAAAGCCCAAGTCAACCCTCAACCCCGAATCCCAACCCTAAACCCCAAAACCTAAGCCCCAAAGCCTATATCATCATATCCTTCAGTCATCAACATAACATTTTGTATGTTAGCCAGCCATGTTAACCCTAACCCTAAACTCCAAAAAACCCGAAAAATTTCGCTTGAGACCAAAAGACGCGAGGAACGGACGCGTGGCCATGTTCGCGGCCATGGGATGTCCCGAGCCTACGTTCAGGGCGCGGGCGTGAGAATCTGCGTATGGCTTAGGGTTTAGGGTTTAGGGTTTAGGGTTTAGGGTTTAGGGTATAGGGTTCTACGAAAAGTTAAAGTTACCTTCCTTGTTGGCTATCTGTACATCCAAGCCCTGATCCAACTCAGGGAACCAAGTTAAGGGTTTAAGAGGCTTATGGGGGTTGCAGGAGACAGGGCTTTTTCTAAGGCGTCTAAGGCTCGGGCACTTTTGAAGCTTGGGTTATTAGGTTACTATTAGGTTGTAGGGTTGAGATTGGATTTCAGCGTGCGGCTTTCTTCCAGACTGCTCCAAGCAGGTTTCCTGAACGTGGACAGCCTCATGACTCGCTTCCCCCCCCTCCCGGGACCTCCCCTACGCAGGAAGCAAGACACGACTTTGCATTCTGGCAACCTTTTGCCGAACATTGCCGTATCGCTTATTTTTTGTTCTTGGTCGTGTTTGTTTGCCAAGTTCAAGCAATCGCGCAAGGCTCTTTGGGGTCACACCCGTGGAAATTCGCGTTCATGTCGAGGCTCTTTGATACCATTCGCCTTTCGTTTGAGATGTTCCCCCTTTATACTAACAGTCCTCAATAGGGTCTATATATTAGGGGGGGTGACTAGAATCCCGAGTAAGGATTGTTAGCAGAAGGGGGAACACGCCGATGTGTCTGATGTAAGACCCTTGCCAAGTCATTACGCCGGAGTATGTCCGCTTCCCCGGATACCTGGCGCACGGGCCCCGGGGCCGTTCGTTGTCAGGGGGAAGCAGGGGCAGCCCTGACTCGCCCAACCCTTCACCCCAAGTCCTAAACCCTAAACCCTAATGAAGCCCCAAAACTCAAACCTCAACAACGTTCGGAGTCGGGTCTTCCGGCTGGGTTGCCTGCTTTGCTGGGGCTTCTTGCCCTAAACCCCTGAACCCTAAACCCTAAACCCTGTAGGAGGGGGGGCTGGGTTCAGGGCTGGGTAGAGGGCTTAGCGGGTTTTGCCGTTTTAGATTTTGTAGGCTTTGGGTTTTAGGGCCCAAGTTGGGACGACACTTCCAGGTTGAGAGGCTGAGGGCTTTTAACCCTGAAGCCTAGCGGTTTGGGGTTTAGGGGGTCTGGGGGGGTTTAGGGGGTTTTAGGGGGGTTTAGGGGGGTTTAGGGCGGTTTCGGGGGTTTAGGGGGGTTTAGGGGAGGTTAAGGGGTTTAGTGAGGGATGTTGAAGGGTTTAGGGCGGTGAGCCTTCTTTCGCCTCAGATCCCAAAACTTGGTCAAAGTCTCAGAGTTTTACAGCCGGAACTGCAATGAGTTTGGGGCTTTTGGGCTTAGCTGAACTCAGGAGCTTTTGACGTTGAGGGTTTGGGCTTAGGTTTAGGGTTTAGGGTTTAGGGTTTAGGGTTTAGGGTTTAGGGTTTAGGGTTTAGGGTTTAGGGTTTAGGGTTTAGGGTTTTCGAGGTTTGGGGTTGAGGGTTTAGGAACCAACGGCCGGACTCTACCTCAGTAGCTTCCTCAAGGTCTCACTGCCGTGATCCTAAACCCTAAACCTTCAACCCTAAACCCTAAACCCTAAACCCTAAACCCTAAACCCTAAACCCTAAACCCTAAACCCTAAACCCTAAACCCTAAACCCTAAACCCTAAACCCTAAACCCTAAACCCGGCACCAGAGCCACAGAAGCCGTACATCGTAGAGGGCTTAATGCCGTTCGTCGGCACCATGCCCCAAATGCTGATGTTGTGAGGTTAGGGTCTAGGGGTTAGGGTCTAAGGTTTAGGGTTTAGGGGTTAGGGTCTAAGGTTTAGGGTTTAGGGGTCCTAAACTGTTGCGAAACGACCACCAGGCCATCCCAGCAGCTCAAGTTCACGGACGTCCCCAACGGCCTCGCTGCTTTCTCCAAGGCACGCGGCCCCAGAACCTACTGTTTACCTTGGGCACCAAATGAACCCTAAAACTGGGGTCAGATACCCTATACTACTAGAATCCCTATTAAAGTGTATGAGCCATAAACCCTGTTAGGGCTCATTTCGTCCTTCAGGTGTGGGTTACTTCTATATATTACGGGGCCCAGAAGCCACATAAACAGAAGGTATCCTACTATTGCGGCATGAGGGCCTCTACAAGGGGGATTCTGGGAAACCCTGGTTGTAGAATCCTTTTGTTGATGTGGTTCTTTGGGCCCCAGTATAAGAGGCCCCAGGGTGTAGGGCTTCGGCCGAAATGTAGGGTTTAGGGTTTAGGGTTTAGGGTTCAGGGTTTAGGGTTTAGGGTTTAGGGTAACTCCCACCCGGCCTGCTGTGGCCGTTCCATCACCTTTTGCAGAGAATGCAGACACCCCTCAACCTACGCCCTGGAACAGGGTTCGCTGAACCCTTAACCCCAAACCCTAAACCCTAACCCTCAACCCTCAACCTTAATCCCTAATCCCTAAACGCTAAGCGGTGCTGTCGCCCACAATCCCCAAGGAAAACGGTGGCACCATCCTCGCATGAAGTATCACCTACCAAAACCCAAGCACGTCTAGTATAAAACTAAACTTCCCTTAGTGAAAATACAGCCATCAATAGGGTTTCGGGTTCAGGGTTGGGGTTTAGGGTTTAGGGTTTAGGGTTTAGGGTTTAGGGTTTAGGGTTTAGGGCTCCGCGGATCAGTGGAATTGGGAGGCTTCGAGGTTTGCCTCCCAGTCTGCCCGCGGGTCCTAAACCTAAGCCCTAAACCCTAAACCCTAAACCCTCAACCCTAAACTAAACCCTAAACCCTAAACCCTAAACCCTAAACCCTAAACCCTAAACCCTAAACCCTAAACCCTAAACCCTAAACCCTAAACCCTAAACCCTAAACCCTAAACCCTAAACCCTAAACCCTAAACCCCAAACCCTAAACCCTAAACCCTAAACCCTCAACCCTAAACCCTAAGCCCTATAGCCTATAAATCCCAAACCCTAAACCCTCAGCCCTCAACCTCTTGGCAATCGATTCATGCTGCAGGTGCCCTTTCTGGGCTGGATCCAGATCCTAGTTTTCTGCGGCATGGTGGACTTCGGCCTCTACAGGCGGGATGCGTAGCCTTCAAAAGAGGTTAGGGCTCAAAAGGGTTTAGGGATTTTTATAGGGTTTTGTAGGGTTTCAACGGGTTTCGTAGTTTGTGGAGGAGCCTAGAGAGGCTGTATGTCGGCTTTCCAGCCGCAAGGAGGCGTCATGCGAGACTGTGGCTACTGAGTTGCTGGCTGCTGGTGTCATTTCTTCAAGCCACGGCTCAGAACAGTCCTTAATAGCGACTATAGTACTCCCTGTCATAATCCCTATTCAGGAGCGGAACATCCCAAGACACACACACACACACACACACACGTCTTCTCTCACTGGCCCTGATGCCTCCTTGCAGTCAGATTTCAACTGCAACACGGGGTCGCAGAATTGCTAATAGCATCCCCTTAGGGTCCCTTTATGAATATACGACAAGAACCCCCCCAAACCCTATTCTACCCTTAACCCTTAACCCTTAACCCTAAACCCTTATCCCTAAACCCTAAATCCTAAACCCTAAACCCTAAACCCTAAACCCCAAGCCCTGATATTCGCACTCTGGCTTGCTCAGTGTCTTCCATGGTTCTTGGGATGACCACGCCACATACAGGCTAAGAACCCGGACTGCACGGGGTCTCGTGGACTTTGCACCTGGCTTGATGCAAGTTCATGACAGGGTTTAGGGTTTAGGGTTTAGGGTTTAGGGTTTAGGGTTTAGGGTTTAGGGTTTAGGGTTTAGGGTTTAGGGTTTAGGGTTTAGGGTTTAGGGTTTGAACCATGTCCTGTCCAGAAAGGCGTGTAATTACTCCTAGCGGCCCAGACCTGAAACTTTTTGCCCGACCGAAGGAAGTCGCAGGCGCACACGGGGCAAACGTCTTGAAGGCAAAGCAGCAAGACGCGAACATTCCAACCACACCCGAAACCCGAAACCCGAAACCCGAAACCCTAAACCCTAAACCCTAAACCCTGAACCCTGAACTCTGAACCCTAAACCCTTAACACCCAATCTCCCTCCGGCCCTTACACCTGAACCCGAAAAAGAAAAGCCTGACACACCCTGAGCCCCAAACCCTAAACCCCGAAACCACCCAAACCCTAAACCTCAAACCCTAAACCCTGTAAACCTCAAACCCCAAACCCCAAACCCCAAACCCCAAACCCCAAACCCTAAACCCTAAACCCTAAACCCTAAACCCTAAACCCTAAACCCTAAACCCCAAACCCTACAACTCAGACCCTAAACCTCAAACCCCAAACCTCAACTCGAAGCCCAGAAGCTCCTCCAGGGCCGATCCCTCCCGGGCCCCCGGTGACTACGAGTCGGGGAACCCAGCAAGCGCTGGGTTTGGCGTTTAGGGTCTAGGGTTTAGGGTTTGGGGTTTAGGGCCTCAGGGGTTTAGGGTTTAGGGGTTCAGGGGTTC